ATCACTTCACCTTAAAAATACTTAGACCCTATTTTCCAATTTCCTTTGAGTTGTGGAGCTGTTAAGTCCTTAAAATACCTCCTAAAAGAGGAAGGAGTGGCAGGTCCTGGGTCACTCTTTGTTGGATTGATAATCTGGATAATCTCTTCAATATCTGGAGCTGAACATGAACTGGTTTTCACTCTCTCTTGACATTCCTGAGGAAAGGGCATAACCTGGCCAGCAAGGAGTGGCAAAAACAGAGGTAAAGAATTTATTAAAGCACTGAATGTCCAGTCCCAGCACAGGTAAATCCAGCTCCACACTCCGTTTCTCTTCAGAGCTCCAGTCCTGGATTTCCTGGGACACGTGGAATGAGCACTACTGGGGATCAACCAGGAGGAGACCAAAGCTTTTCCTGACCCTCTGGCTGGTTTGAAAACCTCCCTGCATTCTGGAGGCTGAGCTCCCTTTGCACTGCAGAGCCTGGCACGGGAGCTGTGGGATTCCTTATGTAACTCCCCGCAGTTACTATAGGAACAAACTTCCCCTAAAGTTGCAGCCTGGCATTTTTGGAGCCTTGATTTCCACCCTGTGCCACCCTGCAGTGCCCAGGTGGGTGAGGACAGAGCCAGGACACCAGGGCCAGGTGGGATTATCCCTGTCACCTATTCCTGGCAGCTGTGGGGACACAAATCCACGTGTGACTCACAGCTCTGCGTGGTTGTTCTTAAAGGGGATCTTCCCACAGCTCTCCCCAGCACACACTAATTCCACAATAAACCCCCCCTGGTGCTTTCTGCCTTGCTGGAATGGTGAGTTACAACTTCAGGGGGGATTTGTAGGGTTGGGGTGGACAGAGGTGTGATCCCTCCCGGAGCCTCACACTCGGAATCACTCCTCAGATGGAGCTCACCAAAGGCTAAAGTCCATTTCTGAACATTTGCACTCAATCCAACTGAAATCAATACTTTTTTTTTTTTACACCCAAGACTCTCCTTTCAGACCTGCCTTTGGAAGAGCAGGACAGCTCCAAAGCAGAACCCTGGAAGATCACCCAGAACACCAGGGCTGCAGCTCAGGACTGAAATGAGTGTGCAAGCCCACGTGCATCCCTCTGGCAGCTTTCCTTACATAAGGCTGAGCCTTCTCCTCACACAAGATTCCCTGAGCCAAGCTGAGCAGTTTTAGTGCCACCACTGTGGTTTTTGGAACCTGCTGCACTGCTCCCAGAACCATCCTCCCCCCTCACATGCAGCTGTTCCACAGCTATTTAAAAAGTTACTCCTTGAACTGCTTTGACTGAAAAGGAAATTCAGCTGCGACTCAAGAGGCTGCTGAGGGAGGAGCTGAGTCACACAGATTTTTGGTAAAAACATGGTTTATATTAATATTAGTTTGGCTGGACTAAGCCAACTCCCCCCATACACGCTAATTCCCTCATTCCACTGGAAGTCATCCTTCCTTAACCACCTATTCAGCCACAAGCTCTCCATCCTGCTTTTCCTCCTTCCCATCCTCATATTTAACCACCTCTGGCCAGGGATTTTCACAGCTCTACCTGGTTTTTTTTGGCCAAGACTAAAGAATTAAATCAGGGTTTGGGTTGTGCTCAGCGACAGTTTTCCCATCTAACCGAGTTAGAAGGGGTGGATTTTGGCACAGAACCCCCAGGTCTCACAAGACAAGGGATCAAGGGAAGAGTCAGACAAACCAGGAGGAGCTCAGGGCAACCTTAACCGCTGGACACACACAGAAATCCTCGTGGTGCTCCCTGGGGAGGGACCTGCTGCTCCGACGTCCACAACGGGATCCAAGGAGCCTGTGGGGTGGATGGGACTGGAGAGCAGAGGGGGAGAGAGTTTGGGAGAAGGAGAGAATCAAACAGAATTAGCTGTAGGGTTCAGCAGACCAGCTGGAGAGTCAGAAATGCAGCAGAATCCAGTTAGTGCCACTCAACACAGGCATCCTGTGATCCCTGCGGGACATCGGGACGCTCCCAGCTCAAGGTCACACCACATCTCCTCTGCCCCCTCAGCCTCCAGGCTCTGGTGCTCAGCAGTGAATCTGCTCCCAGATGCTCCACACAGGCTGCTCAACAGCCCTGTTATCTGCAGGACACACACATGGAACCACAGCAGCAACAGGAGTGTCCTGGGAAGGGCCCTTTCCACGGGAAAGGCTCTGGGGGGAGAGATCCCACCTGGGGGAGCAGCAGCTGTTCCTTCAAGGGGATTGGTTCAAGTGGTTCAAACAGCAAAGGCCTTCAACAAGAGGGTTATGACAACTCAGCTCCCCCTACTCTGCTCTGGCACAGGGGGAATCCCCCCTGTGCACCCACTCCTGCTCAGCCCTCCCAGTTCCCCCGGGCAGGAGGTTTGCAAAGAAAAGAGGAAGCAGCAGCAGAGAGATCTCACCCCACTTCCTCCCAAACGAGCAGCACTGCAGGGTTTGTTGCTGCAGAAGCAAAAACACCCTGAGATTTCCCAGAATGGGTTGGGAGGGACCTTAAAGCTCATCCAGTGCCACCCCCTGCCATGGGCAGGGACACCTCCCACCAGCCCAGGTTGCTCCAGCCTGGCCTGGAACACTTCAGTCACCCGAGCAGATGAGCAGCTTTGCTTCCAGGTATCCCTGGAAGTGCTGAGAGGGACCATGTGGAGCCAGGAGACCCCACGTGGCCTCCCCCCAGCACAGCTTTCCTTACTGGGAAAGGAAATTTCAGAAATTTAGATCAAATAAAGTGTTCTCTTCGCCCTGCACAGGCCCACCTGGGGCTCACTCCCATGTCCAAAGGGGAACCTTGCCGTTATTCCAGGAGGAACATCATTATTCCAGGAGGAACACTGAGCCTTTCTTGCCATCACTGCTCCTCAGAGTGCCCCTGGGAGAGCACCACGCTCACCACAACCCCCAAAACTGCCCCAAAAGATGCCCTGAGTGGCAGGAACTACCCAGAGCTGTTGGCAGAAACACCTCCTGTGGCCACACACCCCCTCCAGGAGGGGATTTCCCACCTCCAGGAATCTCATTAGTGCAGTGGCTAATTGTGGGATCGGATAACTCAGTGGATAATTATTGGATCAGATAACTCAGGACAACCCCAGGACTGATGCAATCCCTCTTCCCAGCCAGGAGCTGCTTCCAGCTTTGGTGGCAGGGCTGAACCCCTGAACCTTGCCTTAATGACAATCTTTACAATAATAACAACAATTAACTGGCATTCTGCACTTCCAGGATGCCCTGGGAGCAGCTCCACCATCACATTCCCCCTGGAGCTGGGGGGTGGAATTTGTTCCCCTTTTGGGGCTGTCTCGTGCCCCAGAAGACAAGATAAAGCAGCTATTTTTGCCCTCAGTGCTGGCTCGAGGTGCCAAGAGATAAAGGACTGGCACGTGAGGGGAACATCTGCCCTCTGCCAACCCAGGTGTGGAGCAGGAAACCCATCTCTGAGATAAAACAGGTTCTTGGGTTGAGGTTACTGCAGGTCTGGGGTTTTTAACAGCAGGGTTGAAAACAAACCCCACATTATAATATTTCTGTGTTGCTCAGAGGTGCTCTGCAGTTTTTAGGGGTCACACTGAGGTGACCAAGTCTCCTGTTTACAGATGGATTTAAAGGCAGTCCCTCCTCCAAGTTCATTTCCAGCAGCTCTTGGGGAAAAAAAAAGGCTCAAGTCCAGATCTCCAAGTGATTATAATGGCTCATTAAAACAGGATTTTAGGCAACCTTAACTCTTTTGCTACAGGAAAACAAGCATTTCCCAGCAGTAAGTGCAGAACAGAATGTGCATCACCAGGGGACAAGTAAATAGTTTCATTCCTTTGTTTTGTCTCCTGGAATTCAAACAGTTAGATACCAGTTCCTCTCTTACCCTCTCCCACTCCTTTCTCAGACAGGTCAGGATCACAACAGGCCTTGAAATCACAGAGACACGGGATGGTTTGGGCTGGGAGGGATCTTAAAGCTCATCCAGTTCCTCCCCCAGGGCAGGGACACTTTGCACTATCCCAAGTTGCTCCAACCTGGCCTTGGACACTTCCAGGGATGGGGCAGCCACAGCTTCTCTGGGCAACCTGTGCCAGGGCCTCCCCACCCTCCCAGGGGAGAATCCAGTGGAAAAGGAAGCAGAGGACAAAACCCTGGCATTCCTGCAGTGGTCCATCATTCCAGGGTGATGCCACAACTCCTTTTTCCTCACCCAGTGTCCCTTCGCACCCCGGTCGGGTCAGGACCAGCCCCGGGTGACAGGATGTGACTCCCCAGCTGGAATTCCCTCCCCAGTTACACAACAGCTGCTTTCCAGGTCCCTCTCCACCCCGAGGAGAGGCTCCCACATCCTGAGAGCTGCTGAATTCCCACGGGGAGCTCCCGGGCTGTTCCCTCCCCATCCCCCCCCCCCCCCCCGAGCTCGGGGCACCGGGAGCCGCTTCCAGAGGCACCGGGAGCCGCTTCCAGAGGCACATCCCGCTGGGACCCGCAGCGAGCCCGACCCCGCAGCGGCCAAACCTGCCCCTAGTCGAGGTTTTTTTAACCCCAAACCACCGCGCTCTTCCCCCCAAAATCAGCGCGTTCTTTCTCAAAAGAACACCAGTCTTTCCCCCCCCCCCCCAAAACCAGCGTGTTCTTCCCCCAAAACCACAGGGGTCCTCCCTCCAAAACCAGCGTGTTCTTCCCCAAAAAACATCACTCTTTCCCCCAAAACCAGCGTGTTCTTTCCCCAAAAAACATCGCTCTTCCCCCCAAAACCACCGTGCTCTCCCCCCAAACCCCCCCCCCCCCCCCCCCAAACCCCCCCCAAACCGCCGGGGCAGCACCGTTGTGACCGCACCGGCCCAGTGGGGTCGGGCTCGAGCTCGGCGGCCCCGCCGGGGGTGTCCCCGAGGGTGTCCCCGAGAAGACACCGGAGAAGCCCCGAGAAGCGACCGCGGCGGGGGTGGGGGGGGCACCCAGGGGGGGTGACACCGGGGGGGGGGCGGGGGGTGACACCGGGGGCGGTGCCAGCGGTCGCCCCGCGCTACCTTTGGCCTGGCAGTCGGCGCAGAACTTGTTCTCGTCCTCGGCCAGCAGCCCGGCCAGCACCGCCTGGTACCGCTCCACGTCCCGCACCGACTTGCCCGTCATGGCGGGGCCGGCGCTGCCGCCCGCGGGTCACGGCCGGCGCCGCCGCTTCCGGCTTCCGCCCGGGGGCGGGGCTTCGCCGCGGGGAGGAGCCAATCGCCGCCCGCGCCCCCGCGGCACCGCCCCCACCGCGCGCGCCGACGGCCCGCCCGCCGGGGATTGGTTGGCGGCGCGACGGCGGGAGCCAATGGGAGAGGGCG